AAATGACCTTGTATTTCGTGAACTATCGATATTTTTAAAGATATAAGCTCATCCCGATGTTACACTCATTAAGACCTTTCATTTGAGTACCCACATGAATTTTTCATATATTTTATATATTTATATATTTTACAAATACTATATATATAAAATATATCAAAAATGCTATGTGGGTACTTAAATTAAAGGTCTCAATGAGTGTAACATCGAAATGAGTTTATATCTTAAAAAATGTCAATAATTAAGAAATGACAATGTATCTTGTCAACTATTGACATTTTTAAAGATATAAGCTCATCCCGATGTTACACTCATCAAGACCTTTCATTTGAATACCCACATCAATTTTTTCATATATTTATATAAATTATATATATGTATATATGAAAAATATATCAAAAATGCATGTGGGTACTCAAATGAAAGCTCTTAATGAGTGTAACATCGAGATGAGCTTATATCTTTAAAAACATCAATATTTAATAAATTACAGTGCAATTCAACAAAAGTCATCATTTGATAAAGCAAAACTTTAATTATTTATAGTTCACAAATCACGGCAGTCATATAGTGACTGCAAAATTGCTAGCTTCTATAAAGTTGAGAAAATTCAAACTTTTTGAAAATATAAAAAATTTTCAAACACCTACAACTTGTAAACTAACCGGCGGATTTAGCTCATCTTTAAACTTGCACTCGGTATTGGTTTATAGAGTAAGTCCACAAAATTTCATAAAAATCGGCTAAGAACTTTGGAAGCAATCCTGCTTACATCTTGCATTATATCAGAAATATATTTAAATACATGAAAAATTTTTAAGGCAATGCTATTTTTAAACATTACTTGTAATATTATGTTAAAAAAAAATGTCCGAATTAAAAAAAAAAAAAAAAAAAAACGGAAGTCCATTATTCCTTTCAGAAGCTGACTTAAACAATGCCTTGTCTCGTCAATAAAATATATAATGGCAGATTGAATATTTAAAGACACACTTAAGCGGTATGCAGGTAATCGTGCCAGAGGAAGTGCATTCATGGGCAGATAGACTTTACTCTCTACTCCTCGAGGCTAGAAAGGGACAGCGCTAAAGATATGGATATCGATCAGCAAACCCGATAATGGCCGTAACGAAAAAATAGATTCATCTAAAATAAACAATAGCTCGATTCTTACCTATCCGGCGATTTTCAATGTGAATTATTCGCCTTGTGAATAAATCTTTAATATTTCCGCGGAAGTTAATGCTGAGAGTTATTCCCAAGTACCTTTTAAAGCACCGTCAAAATGCGAACATGTGACTTTTATTTCTCCACTTTACTGAGTGCTTTTTATAAGTATTTACACTCCAGTTAATTTTTATTATTATTAAACTTTGCTACTGATAACTTTGTGAAATTCATTTTCATTATATCGTTCTTGTTGAAAACTCGTTTCCGTTAAGAACTTGAGTATTACCATTATTATTAATATAATAATTATTATTATTATAGTTTAAAAAATTTTTTATTAGGAGCGTCTTCATCGGGAACATTTTAAAGATCGGAAATTAAATTATTAATAATTAAATTATGACTCAATTTTCTGTGTAAAATATTTTTATAGTAATTTTTAGACAATCAATCATTACTAACAACCTTGCAGTCACTATGTGACTGCCGTGAGTTGTGAACTATAAATAAATGAAATTTTGCTTTATTAAATAATGATTTTCGTTAAATTGCACTGTAATTTATTAAATATTGATGTTTTTAAAGATATAAGCTCATCCCAATGTTACACTCATTAAGAGCTTTCATTTGAGTACCCACAGGCATTTTTGATATATTTTTCATATATATATATAAATATATGAAAAAATTGATGTGGGTACTTAAATGAAAGGTCTTGATGAGTATAACATCGGGATGAGCTTATATCTTTAAAAATGTCAATAGTTGACAAGATACATTGTCATTTCTTAATTATTGACATTTTTTAAGATATAAACTCATTTCGATGTTACACTCATCGAGACCTTTCATTTGAGTACTCACATGGAATTTTTTATATATTTCATATATATATGGTATTTGTACAATATATAAATATATAAAATATACAAAAAATTGATGTGGATACTCAAATGAAAGCTCTTGATGAATGTAATATCGGTATGAGCTTATATCGTTAAAAATGTCAACAGTTCACGAGATACAAGGTAATTTCTTAATTATTGACATTTTTTAAGATATAAACTCATTTCAATGTTACACTCATTGAGACCTTTCATCTAAGTACCCACATGGAATTTTTTATATATTTTGTATATATGGTATTTGTAAAATATATAAAATATATGAAAAATTGATGTGAGTACTCAAATGAAAGCTCTTGATGAGTATAACATCGGGATGAGCTTATATCTTTAAAAATGTCAATAGTAAACGAGATACAAGGTCATTTCTTAATTATGTACCTAGAAATAGAGTATTTTCGAATGCAGCCTAAATAGTTATCATAATAAATTGATTATCAGTAAGAATGTTATGAAACCTTGAAAAGGCACAACTCTAGGTCAAGACCTTTCTAATGATACAAAATTTAACCATAAAAAACTTTTTTATCATATAAATATACTGGCCGCAAAATTTTGCTTATTCTCTTAGTAATATGGAGTAGGATTATTTTACTTGTAATAAAAATTTTCCATGTTTTATAAAGTCAAATAATGACAGTAAAAAAATATTTTTCTCCTGCCGCCGTTAAAAGTAGAGTTATTGGGCTATTTATCACTTTCTTTCCGATAAATTATCGATTATTTCGCATTTAAATGTTCTTAACAGTTGCGATTAAGAAAAATAACCTGAAAATTCGATTCTATTGGAATTAAATAGGTCGAGCAGCAAGCAATAATACAATTTATACGAGATGTAAATTAACCTTTAGCGGAAAATTCACTTCACGTCACTATTTAGCTCGTTCGATTTAAATAACTGGATCTTGAGATAAAAGCAATCTAGTTTCTCGACAGGCGTTTCTTTTTCACTGGCAATTTTAAAGAATTCGATATAGTACTGCTCCAAGGTGGATCGGTAAACGCCCAATTGAAAAATAAGTACACGTATGCTCGGAGAATTCGGTCCAGAACAAAGAAAAATACTAAGAAAAAAAAATTGTAAGAAATAGTTGTCAATACAAAAAGCTTTTATCCAATTGTCGAGCTTTTTGCTTTACTTTGTTTTCTTCGATTATTTTTATGGACAAGTGTGACCTGAGAAAAACAATAGTTGTCAAAATAACAAGAACAATAGTTATAAAAATTGCCATTTGGTTACACTCGATATGCTCAGGTAGATTTCTGGTGTGAATATTGAAAAAACAAGTAATCTAAAAATACAATTTGAAAAAAAAAGAAAATTATTTGATAAAGCAAAATTTTATTTATTTATAGTTCATCTCCCGGCACATGTAGGGTGATATGATACTTAGCCGGTGTTAGAAAAATAATTTTTTTTGGCTATAATTGCTCTTAAAATCCAATTTTTACACGCTTTTTATTAGCTTCACCTGTATGTTTGTATGTTAGTAACCGACTTCTTTGGGCGCGATTTTGACCCACTTTAAACGGCCAGATTTCGTTGAAACTTTGTAGATTTATCGAGGACCGATGACAATACACTAATTTGATAAAATTATTCCATTTTTTCAATTTGCAAAATATGATTTTTGTTAATTTATATAATTTTCATCTATAGTCGATAAGGTAAGAAACTTAATTTTAATTTTTTATAATTTTTCTCTACAGTCGATAAGACAAGGACTTGATGTAAATTTTAATTTCGTGCATGGTGTCAATAGTTATAAATATTTTATTGACAGATATGAGTAGAGTGATTATCATTTTGATAATATCTTAAAAAGCACCCCACACTTTTGTTAAAATAAAATAATTTTTTTTTTATTCACACTATTATTAATTAATATTTATTTAAATTTTTAACACTATTCTTAATTTAAATTTATTCTCTATTTTTTAGTTTAATTTTCTATAAAAAAGCGTGTTTTTAAACTATTATTTATTCTTACTGTGAATAGGTTGGGTTAGTGCACTTTTTGGGCGCCATTTGTACGGTAACTAAAGTCGATAACGTCTCAGTCCTTTATTACCGACTCACGACGCTTTTAAAAGGTTTTTTACGGAAAATTAAGCAGTAAATAGTCGAATAAATAATTTTTATTTAAAAATAGAGCAAAATAGAAGTAAGGCGAGCTTACGACACAAAATGTCGATTAGTTAAACTTGAACCGGAAGCTCGCGATTACCAGTCAGAATCAGCAGAGGCAAATTACGATGTGAGTAATATAACCCGTGTGTTGTACGCAGTATAGGTGGCCAGTGGTATAATCAGGATGGCAAAAGCAACAGTGTCACTTGCACGCTATGTCCGATATTATGGATTATTAACAATTATATACACTGACATACTACTCATGTTTATCTTCATTAACCCGATTGAACTCGTTAGCTATCGGTCGCTCAAAATACAACAATTATATTCAAAATAATAATAACAATAACAATAAGAGAGTGATCTACATTCTATAAGTAGTCGGTGCGTTTTGAATAAAATTAAATAACTCTCGCTTAACACGGCCATGAAACATGAAAGTTTAATAATTATTATAAATAATAAATGAATAAATAAATAAATAGTCGGTGATAAAGTTATTTTGTAACTGATTTTGAAATCAATGGTTTTAACTAATACATATTTATTTATATATTTTTTTTACGGATGTGTATAGTGAGCGGAAAATTATAATTGACTAGAAATTTGTTACGTAGTAATTAATTAATTAATAATAAGTTAATTGAATAAGTGATTTAATGGTAATTATTGTTGTTTAATTGTGTTTAATTAGACATAAGGGGACGAATAATGAAGAATGAGGACTAAAGATGGGAAGTTTTAACAATTGAGGATTCAATTTAACTGAGATTGATTATTACATCAAGAAAATGAACGTGTGGATTGTGTTCCTTCTTTGCTTCGGAAGTGGACTGGCGCAGACTATAGCGAGGTGTCCCAACCCCGGGGACATCAGACCCTGCTCCTGTTCTGTTAAGAAGAACGGACTGGATGTGATTTGTGAAAGTACAGACCATGGGTATATTAATAAGGCCCTTACGGCTCTTAAACAGCAGAATTCTGTGATTTTTTACCTCAAGTTGAGGCACAACAACCTTCCGAAGCTTCCTGGGTTCGTTTTTCTAGGGCTAATTGTCCAGCATTTGGCGATTCATAACAGCAGTTTGGCTACTGTTGAAGAAAACTCGCTGAGTTCTATTGGTAAGTTTCATTTTTGAGATAAGTTTTAGAATAATGGGTTGGAAAGACATTTTTGGAACAAAAATTGTAAAGAATTGAATTTTGAACAATTTTGGGTTGGAAACATTTTTGTAGAACGAGTACTTTAGAAGATAAGGTTAAAGAGCCCATTAGTGGCATTTTTTCTTTCAATGAAAAAATGTTCTACTTGGAATAAAAATTAAAAATTTTTTCGATCTAAAGGTCTTAAAGATTAGAAATAATATATTCATAATAAAAAATTAAATGATTTCATTAATTGAATAAGTACCAAAATTAAAGAAAGTGTCAGTGATAGGATCTCCCGCCACTAACAGGGTCTTTTACTCTATAGCTGATTCAACGGTGGGTTTGAAGGTATTTAAAGAAGAATTTTTGGAAAAATTATATAGTTTTCAGAATGGCTGTAATTTTTAAATTATTGGTTGTTATTGGTTCAACCAATTATTGGTTGAACATTTAGAAAAAATGTTTTGACTAAAAATTGTAGAAAATTCAATTTTGAATAATTTTGGTATCTAAAAATTTTTTTAAAGTTAATATTTTAGAAGATATAAAAGATTTTAACTATAAGTTTGATTATAGCTTACAATAAACCAAAAAAAATTTTTTTTTTAATTATATAGTTAATATGGCTGTAATTTTTAAACTATTGCGTTTAGAAAAAAAAGTTGGAGAAAATAAAATTCTAAACAAATTTGATGCACAGAAAGAAAAATATCTTGACTGGAGAAAAAAATTCCTGGCTCAAGAAAATTTTCGCGTGCCTGAAGGAAGACCGAAGTTGTGTTGGCCGAAGTTAAAATTTTTCTTGAAATTCTATTCTTGGTGGAAGTAATTTTTTCTTAATTCAAATTATCATAAATACTTGATACAATAAATTTTTTTTATATTTGATCAAGATTTTTAGATACTTTAGAGAAGCAGCGCCACCTACTTCAGCTAAGAAAAAAATTTTCTCACCTTGAGAAAATTTTTCTCTTGAATATTTGATATCCATTTTATATTATTTTAGCGTGCAATTATACATATTGAATGAAAAAAAATGATAAAATATTATTTGATCTTCCCATTTGACATGTTAATCAATAAAAATATTAATGAAAATTTATTTCTATCTTTATATTTAATTTTTTGGAGCTCGAGGCTGAATTTTCTCAAAACAAGATTTTCTTGACTTAAATAAATTTTCTTGGATAAAGATACGTATTTCTTGAGCAAGAAAATTAATTTCGTTGGAATAAGTCAAATTTCTTTTCAAAAAAAAATTTTTTTTTCCCTCAAGAAAATAATTAGGAAGAAAAATATTTTCTTGGCTCAAGTAAACCTTTCTTTCTGTGTATCTATAAAAAATTCAGTAGAATCGATATTTCAAGCCCAAATCCTTATTACAACAAATCTCAAGTTTCAAATTAAAGAACTTCTAGTGGTAAGATCCAATTAAAGTTTTCTCATCAATTACACCTTCAAACTCAATCAATCTAATTACAATAAATTCCAATTGAAAATCAATCCCAATCACACAATTGATTACCGTTAAATTGGAGTTTACAACCAAAAACAAAGTGCAGTTGTTAATTAAATTCCTGCGATTGAAGTAGCTTCCAATTACGTAATCACAAACTATTCTATTATCAGCAGCAACAATGACTGTTTCATCATAAATTAAAATCATTACAGCGAAAGGACTCACTCAGCTGGATTTGTCGCAAAATTCCCTGGCAACAGTCCCTTCACCAGCTCTGGCGAACCTTCACGCTTTGATAATTCTCAATCTCAACAGAAACAAAATCCACGAATTGCGTAGCAAGTCTTTCGCGGGGTTGGACACTCTGGAAATTCTGAGTCTCTACGAGAACAAAATAAACAGCATCGACCCGGACGCGTTCAAAGGCCTTGACGAGTGAGTAAATTTAAGCGAAATATTAACTTCTATTTTCATGAAATACTAAACAAGGCATTAAAGAGTCGTTAAAATTGCATTACCGTGACCACTGGAAAAATTTGTGTCAAAGGAAGTAATGTTTTTCATTATTCATTACGGTCAGAGTAATGCAGTTTAGGTTCCATGATTCTTAACCCTCTGACAAAATATCCCGGAAAAAATATTTTAAATTTTTTAATAAAACAATTCAACAAATAAAAGCCCTAATTATTGACAGGGGTCTAAATATTGACACCCTAAATTATTTTTAAATATATTTAATTATCTGTAATAAGAATAACTATCATATAAATTTTTATTAAATTCTAATTAATTAAAAAATTGAAAAAAATTACTGTCAGTTAATATTAAATATTAATTATTAAAAAATAAAGTTAGCACCACTTAAAACCAGCTTACGAACGTTTATTTTCTTAACAACTTTGATTAGAAAAGCATTTTTTTAAATGCCGAGTTTTAATTAATTTCTTCATCTAATAATATTATCTTTTTTTTTTTAATTAACAATATATGAAAAATTTATAAAATTGAATAATCGAAATTAATTGTATGCTTTATAATATTTAAATAATGGGTGTCAATAACTAGTTGATAATTTTTAAGTTGAATCTCATATTGACAGCCATTCGACAGCGCTATCACGCATTTTTTTTACTTTAATCTAAAAAATTTACTGTAAGAGTTTGAACTCTTCTGATTCAATAAATTATTTTTAAATAATTATTAAGTTTAATTAATAAACTTTAATAAAATTGATTACTTAATAATAAGTTTGGATAAATAAGAATAAGCAGATGATTGTAGGCATGCTTAGTATAGGTGTCAATAATTGGGGTGAAGGTATGTCAATAATTAGATCAATCAGTTTTTTAACCTGCCAATAATTGGTGTATCCGGATAATCTATTTAATTATTTAAAATTAATTAGTAAATATCAGTGATTATCATTTTAAAAAATTTGATCAGTAAAATCATTACTTGAGACATTACCACAAACAAAATTCAACGATATTGATTTTTGATTGCTTAAAAAAAATCAAATCATTACTTTGTCTCTTATAGTGTCAATAATTAGGGCTTTTACCTTTTATCTCAATTATTAAAAAAACTAATTTTTGCAACACTTCTCAAGAAACTAATCTTTTATTATGGATTTTGTGTGATATTTAGTCTCGGGGATATTTTTTTTTTTTTTTTTGATATTTTGTCTGAGAGGATCAAGACGCCTGATACCGCAATTTGGACTCCATTAAATTTATTTATTTATTCCCTTTTCATTATTATGTTCCGTCTTCTGGATTGGTTGAAACGGTATTTTATTTACAAATAAAGCCGGAAATTAAAGCGCCTTAATCTCGGAGGAAATCTTCTTACAAATATACCGACTCCCGCATTGTCATCCCTGGATGTTTTGAAAAAGCTCGAGATGCAAGAAAATAAAATATCAAGTATTAAAGAAGGCGACTTTGAAGGTAAACTATTTTTGTTTTTAAATAAATACATTACATCCTTTTATTTTTCTTTTAGTATTCTTCTTAGTTTTTCTTATTGAGGGTCAGTCTCCCGGGACTGAATAAAAAATTCATTAGATACGATAGCCCGAAAGGATACCAACTTTTGCGAAATTTTATTTATGTTTTATTTACTCAAGTAAAGTAACTGACTTTTTTTATAAGCTTACTTTTTGTTCTACAAGAAGGATTTATTAGTTCGTAGTTGTTATTAATATGAAAGTATTTTTTTTGGACTACGCCCTCAGGCTGGGCACCGGAGAAAAAATATTTTTTTGACATTATTTAAATTTATAAAACATAAAAATTTTTTATTACAAGTAAAATAATCCTAATTTTGTTTAAATAATTATTAAGTAGTGAAAAATATTAGAAAATTAGTAATTTATTGTAAAAAATTGACAATTCAGATATAAAGTATTTAATTTTGTCAAATAGTGGCTGAAAGATAAATGTTGGGTTTTTTTTTAAATAAAATAGAAAAATTTTACTTTATTTCTTTCAAAAATGAGTAATTAACGGCAATATTAGTAAAAAGAATATTATTACTGCTCAAAATTGGTTAGTACGCAATTTTGGGCGCCAATTGTCCGCAAAATAAGTCGGTAACGTCTCTGGTCTATTTTACCGAGTCTTAGAGCCAAGAAAGTAAAAAATTGAAGCTTAACTCATTAAAAAATGAAAAAAAAATTTGTTAGTAAAAAAATAATTTTTTTATGGCCATAATTACTCTTAAAATTCAATTTTTCATACTGTGACTCCCCAGGCTGGATTAGTACGCACCGTAGGGCGCCAATTGCCCATAAACAAAGTCGGTAACGTCTTAGATCTATTATACCGAGCCGAGAAAGTGAAAAATAGAAGCTTAATTCATAAAACCTCTGATTTAATAAAAAAAAACCTTAAAAAATTTTTTAAAATTACGCTATGAGGCGTGCATTTTTTTTCAAAAGGTATCTCGTTAGCCGAGATTATACGTCACCGTTACGGGAGAACATGGTACCATTTCCTGAGCTTTAGATCTCGGTTAATGCAACTAAACCAACAATATATTCTTGTACTGTGTAATAAATTTTTATGCGGACAATATTCCCTAGTTTATAGTTCATCTCCCGGCACATGTAGGGTAATATAAAGATACTTAGCCGGTGCTTCAGCTTCAGCCTTTTCACTCTCTCGACTCGTAAGGACGTGAATTTTTCAATGGACTGTTACTATCTCGGTCACTGATCTCTTATGGAGTCGCTGCTTTTAAATTAGCTTTCAGCGAATTCATAACAAGTACTCTGTGCTCTGTACGGGTATTACATATTCATATTTCAAAGCATCATAAGCAGATTAAAAAAAATAAAAGCTAAACTCCGTCTCTTTGGCGGAATATACTATAAAAAAAAAAAAAAAAAAAAAAAAAAAAAAACTTTGGAGGATTAACTACTTTAAAAAAAACGCATAAACCATTTTATTCTGGGTCTGCGTTATCATAGTTTTGTTTATTATTTCACTCGGTTTTACGACCACAATGGTGCTATGAATTTTTATGGATACTTAGAATCATCGCGGGAAAATAGTTTTATTGCTTTCTCTCCCGAATAATTATCCGTTTAACGCAACGATGTAACAAACGTTTATGAAACTTGTTTAAGTATTATGCGGTTTTTTTTTATTTTTTTACACATAGTTTTTCTGACTGTTTTCTGTTTTATGCTTGCTATTAGGATTAAAAGGCCTGGACTCGCTGGTATTGGCGCATAATCAAATCAGCGAAGTACCTGCCAGAGTGTTTTCACACTTGACGCAATTGAACTCACTGGAACTTGAAGGGAACAGAATAACTCGCGTTGATCCTGACGCTTTCATCGGGTTGGAAGGTAAATACATTTCTATTTTTATGCAAGTGTAAACTGTAATTACAAACTTTGTGTTGTTGGTTTGTTTGTTTTTCATTTTATTTTTTTTTTATAATTAAAGACTACACTGATAGAAGTTTAGTTAAAAGTAATTTAATGTACCATTGAATAAAAGATTTTTTTGTAATTGATCAAAAATGTTTTAAATAAATTTCTATAAAATTTTCGGGAAAATAAAATTTTATCGAAGGGTAAAATGAACTTAACAGAAAAATTAGATACGCTAACTAAATTTACAGAAAACCTCCAGTATCTACGACTCGGAGAAAATAACTTGCACGTAATACCGAGCGATGCACTTCGACGACTTCATCGTCTCCGACATCTGGATCTAAGATCTAATAACATAACAGCCCTTCCGGAGGACGCTTTCGCAGGATACGGAGATTCCATATCCTTTCTCAATCTCCAGAAAAATTTGTAATTATCTTGAAAGCTTTTTTTTTCTAAATTTTATTTATTCAACTAACCAACTTTTTTTTTTGTTATTTTTCAAAGAATTAAAGTGCTACCGCCGACAATTTTCGATAATTTGAACTCGCTACAGTCGTTGAATTTGGGTAATAATAAGTTGATCCATATTCCCGAAGAAATTACTGGGGGAATGATTGACACACTAGTAATGATCGACATTACGGGTTTGTACATTTTTATTTTCTTTATAGTAGAAACAATTTTTTTAAAATTCAACAATTAAATTGTTTAAAAAATTCCGTTAGCACACTTTCTTTATAAAAAAAATTTTAACCAAAAATATATCTAAAAAAATAATGAAAAATAAATGGAATTTTATGAAATAATTAACTTTTGAATATATGTTCAGTGATTTAAAAAAAAAAAAAATTTTTTTTCCAAACTGTTTACAAAAATTATCCAAAAATGAATTTTTAAAAAAATATTTTCTATATATTATTCATTTATTTTTAATATATTTTTGTATTTTCAATACATATTTTTAATATACATTTTTTTTGTATAACAAAAAAAATATTGTATATATTTTTATTATAATTGAGATATATTTTGAAAAAGCAGAAGAAATATATGTAAAATTATATTAAAAATATATTATACAAATACCTATAAATTTCAACTAGCAACCTTCCAGTCACTATGAGACTGCCGTGACTTGTGAATTGTTAAATTGCACTGTACTTTCTTAACTATTGACATTTATAAAGATATAAGCTCATCCCAATGTTTTACTCATCAAGAGCTTTCATTTGAGTACCTACATGCATTTTTGATATATTTTTCATTTATACATATATCTAATATACATAAATATATGAAAAGTTGATGTGGGTACTCAAATGAAAGGTCTTCATAAGTATAATATCGGGGTGAGCTTATATCTTTATAAATGTCAATTGTTGACAAGATACAATGTCATTTCTTAATTATTGACATTTTTTAAGATATAAACTCATTTCGATGTGACACTCATCGAGACCTTTTATTTAAGTACCCACATGGCATTTTTTATATATTTCATATATATGGTATTTGTGAAATATATATAAATATATAAAATATATGAAAAATTGATGTGGGTACTCAAATGAAAGGTCTTGATAAATGTAGCATCAGGATGAGCTTATATTTTTAAAAATGTCAATAGTTCTTAAGATACAAGATTATTTCTTAATTATGTATCTAGAAATAATTTTCAAATGCAGCCTAAATATCATAATATATTGACTATCGATGAGAATGATATGAAACTTTGAAAAGGCACAAATTCAAATCAATACCTTTGCAATGACTAAATTTTACTAAAAAAACCTATTTTGTCATATGACTATCTTGAAAACAAAATTTTTCGTTTTTTCTTTATAATATAGATTATATTAAAAATCTATAAAATATCTCCGAAAGTTGATCAAAAATTAATAAAGTTTTCTTGATTAATAATTCCTTATTAATATATTTTACGACACAAATTTATCCAAACAAAGCTTAAAAACAAATGGTAATAATAATCACTTAATATTCCAGACAATCCACTAATCTGCACCTGCGACCTGCAGTGGTTTCCCTACTGGCTAAAGAAACTAAAAGGGCAAGACGACGACACGATGTCCAAGAAAAGGACAGTGTGTACAATGCCGAACGAGAGGCGGGAGTACGTACTCCAGAATTTGCCCCTCGAGAAGATGGGTTGCGTTAGCAAAGCGGGTAAAATATCATCATCTTCAAATATTATAGCGTCAAATCCCACACAGATACTAGCGCTCCATCTAGCGTTCTGCGTAACCTCTATATTGCATTAATACCTTTGCCGAATTGAAGAATAACAGAATATCATAACAAAAAGTAAACCAAGAAACACTCAGCCCTATTATTGTAATTATTTCTTAACAAAAAACAAACATTCCACTTAGCAACTATTTATTTTAAATTATTACACATGAATTTTCATTTCTCACGGACTTTCACTTCTCTACTCCCGCGAAGAAAGCAATTATCATAGACAATGAAAACACTACGTTTTTATTATTATTTTTTCATTACACTTAAATGGACAACAATATACAATACACAATATGAATATATTTATAAATATATATTGTATCTTGTAACTCACTTGGACAATCCAAATCTTTTAAATTTTTTATCGAAAGTCTTATACATATCAAATGCCAACTATTTTATTCCGTTTTAATATTTCGATCGAAAGTCTAGGTAAGGTTTTTTATTCTATTTATTTTATTTATCAAGACACCTTTTTAATATACTGTAAAAAATTTGCGGTCGGATAAAATTAAATTATTTCCGAGAATTTTATTTATTTTATAAAAAAAACGAGGAGTGAATTTTAGATAAGAAAAAAAAAATATTTGTTAAAAAATTAAAAAATGCGTGCAAATTTTTAATGGTCAAAAATTGGATAAATATTTTTTTTTAATTTTTACAGGCATTTTTTTTATAATAATTTATTTATTTCCCGCCAAAAATTTATATGTTAAATATTTAACACTTTTTTGTGTTGATTTAACAGAATAATTGTTAAATTTACACATAAGTGTTAAATATTTAACAAAAAAATTTTTAATACTAAATTTTTTGACGTAAAATTTTTTACTGTGTAAGTACATAAAAAAACGAACAATTAAAAAAAAAAAAATATCAATTTTTTTTTAAATTAAAAAATTTTTTTTGAAAATTTGTTAAAATTGCGATAATCAATTTTAATTGTTTTTTTAATGTACTTTTCAAAAAAAAAAATATATCAATAAAATCAAATAGAAATTTTTTTAATAATTCGGCATTTAAAACTTGTTTTAGTTAAAAATTAATATCGAAATTCTCAAAAATAATAAAAAAAAATTGACTCTAATTTTTTATTGGTTTAAAATTTGAGCGCGCGCAATTTAAATTTCTAATTCAGTGTAAAAACTCCGCACTTAAATTTTTTTCCGATTAAAATTCACTCCTAAATTTTTATAATGTAAATTTAAAAATTTCAAAAAAAGAAAAGTAATAAATATGATGTAACATTATGAAAAACCTATTCCGGTAATATTTTAGTTGATATAATTAGCATAAAATATTACCGCGTAATAACTTTTCAATAAAAATATTCCACTGAAGTAATTAATTACCGATTGATAAGAAATAAATCGATTAAAAGTGAAAACTTGTTATGTTACGCTAACGCTGTGACGTCACAGTTGCGCTCGGGTTTTTTCGGACCCTGTCGACGTATTGTTCCGAAAAATTCGAGGTTAGAACATGGAACTGAAAACTGCAAGTAATTTTGCAAGTAAAAAGGTGTTCTTTTGAGTAAAATATGTAATTATTCGAATCATTATAAGAATTAGAGTACCATGACACAATAACGCGTGAGATATTAAAAAAAAAAAAAGTTAGTACTCTTTATAACAGGAAACGCAGACGGATTAAATTTGCATAGATTAAATAAACACGAGTCCCGGTATATTTATATAAGTATTCATAATAATATTCATTAAAATAATGTATACTTATACAGATATATTGATTTATTACAAATTAATATTTTAATTATTGATAATTATTGATTGAATCATTTGGATAGCACGCTTTGCACTTTGATAGATTAAAAATTAGGATAGAATTTAATGAAAGTCACTATCCTCTTCAAGCGGATGATTATACATATCATTAATGTTTTCCAGTGCGTTATATTATATATTAATATTAATAGTAATATAAATTAATATATTGTTGTTGTAGTTATATATATATATATATATAAATTTATATAGTTCGATAGCTACCTTGACCATAATAATCATATACATATCTCCCGGTATTGGGAAACGTGAAAGGTCTGTTTTATTGAAAGATGTATACAATTTATGGTTAAAGATAAATTTTAAATAATGGTTCTTTTCTTTAAGATCTTATGTGTCGATTTGGGTTTATAAATGTTTACTGCTGGAGAATTTATGAAAAAATTGGAGCATTTTTTTTGTTTGAATATTTTGAAAGAAAAAAAAAAATTTACACCGTTTTAATTTGTGGTGTACAATTATGAAAATCTAAAAGTGCACGACTCATAATGCTCATTTCATTATAAAACATTATTAAAATAAAGAATGTGAAAAAAATATATAAAACAGCTGAATTTACAGTTCTGATTTTTGTTTAATTTTATTAATTGTTTATAAATAACACTGAATTACTAAGCCATTTTTAATCGGTGAACTACAATTCTTTCAAAGAATTAAAAAAAAAAAATTTTAATCAATTAATGCTTTTTTTTCGCAGGTTATAGTGTTTCCGGAGTTTCATAGATGACGGAAAATTTTTTAACCTATTTTAATGTTTTTTTCCGTTTCTATTGCACTAAATGAATTTTATTTAAGTGTCAAATTAATCTCCATTAAATTATCTTGACGAAAGTATCCAAAATATATTGATTCCGTGAACTAACAAGACTATAATTATAAAAATAGCTGCCAAAATGGGGCGAAAAAAATTTTTTGATCGTAAAGCACTCTCTGCTTCGCATTATGGGTCGTGCAATTTACTAAAAAATGTAGTAATTATTTACAAGTGGGGTTAAATGTATTTTTGGCCATATCGAGGTAAAAAATTAACATTTTTTTATTTTTTATTTATTCTGCTTGTTTTTATGGCGGATTTATGGTGGAGATATCGAAAATATTAAAAAGTTAATATTTCGATAGCATTTTTGACCTTCAAAAGTTGGAAAAAATTTTGGTTTTCATGTTTTTGGATAAAATTGTAAATTTGGATAAAATTTATAAATTTCTTTTTTAATTTTTTAAAATTGTAGTAATCAATTTTTTTTTTTAAGTGTTCATTTTTTGTATATATTTTTCAAAAAAAAATATCAAAATTTAAAAAAAAAAATGAAAATTAAAATGGTAGAATCCACTTGTAAATAATAACCAAAATTATTAATAAAATTCGTCGTAATTCTGACAATTATATTGTTTTTTTTTTTATTTTAAGCGTTAAAAATATTCGAAAAAAATTTTTTTTTCAATTTCAATTTTATTATTTAAAAAAAAAAATTTTTTTTTTTAAATTCTAAATTAATTACATTGGAAGAATTTCCGAAAAATTTAATGGCAATAAAAAAATATTTAAATGATTTTAAAATTACAAATTTTACATTTTTTCAATGTCAAAATTTTTTTTTGTCTCAAAAAAATTGTGAAATTTTAATACAAACTTATTTTGAAGAAAAAGAAATTTAAAAATTATAAAAATCACTAAAAAAAATAATTTTTTTAAAATATTGCTTAAAATTTTCCATAATATAACTCCAGCGCAAATAATATCCATGTAATTGTCACTAAAAAGGTAAAAATGATATATTTTATAAAAAGCAATACGCCAACTGCGATTCCAAGCTGGCCCTATTATATTCTTGGAACGTACGCGACATATTGCGCAAGAGACTACTGACAACCCGTAGGTAGATAAACATGAAACTAGTTGTAAGCTAGTTATAAATCCTAAAAATATTAACAAGTTACATTTAATAAATATATATTTAAAGAAATCTATGAATATACATTTGTGAAAAATGAAAATACCAGTTAAGGGTAAGAACCATGTCAAGACATATCGAATTGCCGTAGGCGACCCTCGTTGCGCCATATCAATATCTAATTATTAATTATCAATTAACTAATAATTATTAAATAAGCGGTATTTTTGTACAGTCTTACAAATTATTATTAATTATTATTATTATTATTATTATTATTATTATAAATGCCCAAGTGTGCATTGATGGCTGCATACTTACCTTACATCGCCTTTAGTTTGTGCGTAGACTCCCTCTCCCTCTGTCGCTGATTTGAGATGAGATAACTGAGAAAAAAAAAAATTAATTTTATTGAAGAAGAGAAAATTATTCATGGGTTTTTTTTTTTTATAGGTAAGGGAGCAAAAATGGAATATTATGCAGTTTTTTTAATGAATATAAAGTAACAGACTCAATTATCAACACTATTAGAGGAAAAGTTATGATTTGATTTTTTTTAAGCAATCAAATATCAATATCGTTGGAATTTGTTTGTGGTAATGTCTCAAGTAATGTTTTTACTAATCAAATTTTTTAAAATGATAATCACTGATATTTACTAATTAATTTTAAATAATTAAATAGATTATTCGGAGACACCAATTATTGGCAGGTTAAAAAACTGATTGATCTAATTATTGACATACCTTCACCCCAATTATTGACACCTATACTAAGCATGCCTAGAATCATCAGCTTATTCTTATTTATCCAAACTTATTATTAAGTAATCAATTTTATTAAAGTTTATTAATAATAATTTCCATAAATGAGTAATTACTTTTAAAAATATAAAAATTTATTTAAAAATAATTTATTTAATCAGAAGAGTTCAAACTCTTACAGTTAATTTTTTAGGTTAAAGTCAAAAAAAGGCGTGATAGCGCTGTCGAATGGCTGTCAATATGAGATTCAACTTAAAAATTATCAACTAGTTATTGACACCCATTATTTAAATATTATAAAGCATACAATTAATTTCGATTGTTCAATTTTATAAATTTTTTATATATTGTTAATTAAAAAAAAAAGATGATATTATTAGATGAAGAAATGAATTTAAACTCGGCATTTAAAAAAAATGCTTCTCTAATTAAAGTTGTTAAGAAAATAAACGTTCGTAAGCTGGTTTTAAGTGGTGCTAACTTTATTTTTTAATAATTAATATTTAATATTAACTGACAGTAATTTTTTTCAATTTTTTTATTAATTAGAATTTAATAAAAATTTATATGGTAATTATTCTTATTACAGATGATTAAATATATTTAAAAATAATTTAGGGTGTCAATATTTAGACCCCTGTCAATAATTGGGGCTTTTATCTTAATAAAAAATATTTTTTTCTATAAATTTGGCTTTTTTATTATAATTTTGGTTGCAAAAGTCTTTAATAAAAAATTTATATTAATATTGTAATATTAATGGTTTTTAGTTGCTATATTTAAATATATATTTTTTTTAAATATTTAAAAAAATTTTAATAAATTTTAAAGTAACTTCTGGGGAAAAAAAAATTTTTTTTTAGACTAAAAATTTTTAATATCAATTTTTTCAAAATAATTTTTTAATAAAAAATTATGTATAGATAATTTTAATTAATGAGTGTAAAAAATTTATAAAAAAAAATTTTTTTCCTCAATTTCACTAGTAATCCATTTTGCCCCCTCACCTTTACAGCTAATAAATACACAATTATATAGGAAGTAAAATTAAAAATTAACGCTTGTTAACCACAAGAATAGTATTCGCGTGATCGTATTTACCTATATATAAAAACATAATATATATTTTATTGAAATAATTAAAGAACAGAATGAAAAAAATTAACGATACCGATTAAAAGTTTATCTAATGAATTCCATCGTTTCTATATTAAATATTTATTAATTAATAAATGATAATTAAAACAATAATATTAATATAAATATGTATTTCCGAATGGACTTCACCTAACATATTAGCATGAAGAGCAATGGGTAACATATAATTAGTAATTACCATTACTAATTACCAAGTAATTGAATTTAACAGACGGGCAGTAGAATTAATGAGGGTTGGAATGAATCGGGTTTGCAATATTCAAAGTTAACATTTGTATTTGTAATATATGTAATTGTTTTATTTCTTATCGATAAATTAATATAACATGTCTATCTGTACTTCCAGTGAATAAAAATATCTGCAATTATTTTTATTGGTTTTATTTTATTGTTTTATGGCATTGATGATAAAATTTATTGATTTTTACCAGTCGACAGATGTTACTGAGTCAGTCGGTCACAGCGACGAATACCGCCAGGTAATTAAACATTCAGCACGCTTTTCTCATTCTTCGCTTTGTGACGGGGGGTGTGACGAAAAAAAGTTTTTTTTTATTGAATACATACTAATTGTTCTTTTTCTTTTTTTTTTTGTAGGTAAATTTCTTTAAAAATCAGCCTGTTGCAAGAAATTAATGTTAAGAAAAAAAAAATACTTGTTATATGAATTTAAATTGTTGGAAACTTTAAACATTTTCCTTTTTTTGTAAAATCAAATTTTTAAATGTGTTTATATCTTTAAAAATGTTAGTAATTAGGAAATGATATTGTATCTTGTCAACTATTGACATTTTTAAAGATATAAGCTCATCCCGATGTTACACTCATCAAGACCTTTCATTTGAATACCCACATCAATTTTTTCATATATTTATATAAATTATATATATGTATATATGAAAAATATATCAAAAATGCATGTGGGTACTCAAATGAAAGCTCTTAATGAGTGTAACATCGAGATGAGCTTATATCTTTAAAAACATCAATATTTAATAAATTACATTGTATCTTGCCAACTATTGACATTTTCAAAGATATAAGCTCATCAGGATGTTACACTCATTGAGACCTTTCATTTGAGTACCCACATCAATTTTTCATATATTTTATAAATTTATATATTTCATAAATACCATATATATATATAAAATATATGAAAAATGCTATGTGGGTACTCAAATGAAAGCTCTTGATGAGTGTAACATCGAGATGAGCTTATCTCGATATCTTTGTAAATTTCAGTAGTTAAAAAAGTACAGTGCAATTTAACAAAAGTCATTATTTATTATAATGAAAATTAAAAAATTAAAAAATTAAAATCAAAATAATTTTTTGTCATTAAAAATTCAAATTCTTAAATTAAATATTTGTTAATTTTCTTTAAAAAAATTTTTTTTAATAAAAAAAAAATACTACGAAAAAAATGTGATTTCTTTAGCTGAAAAAAAAAAATGTAGAAAATTTCCATTTAAATTCTCGTAACTAAATTGTAATTTTTCCTCAAATGTAATTTCTTCCCTTTAAGTGCAGAGGTACTTATCTTAAAATTTACATACTTTATTTCATTGAATTACACCGAAAAAATAGAATCAGCTTAAAATTTTCATCTATATGTGATAGAACCGGTCTTGTTAGCACGATTACGGCCGCGATTCTTACAGCATCTCAATGAAACTCAATACATTTATTCTATGAACGAAAATCTCGGTAAATTTAGAAAATGGGACAAACCATTAGTTCCTAAGTTGTAGGTGTTAAAAAATTTTATATCATTATCCTCAACTAAATATTGCATAACTAATTGTTAAAAAATTTTCATTTCTAAATGTATAATTTTCGTTCAGTTTATTGATTTTACAATCGTTCTAAAGGTAGTACCAAATATTTCAATTATTATTGTATGCTCAAATAAAAAAATCTACCTTTTCACATCGGGTGTGGCCAAAAGTAACTTTTCTTTTAAATTTCATATAATTTCTCCACAGTGCTAAAATTTCTCCCCAATCACACCATTTTGTGTTTCGATACCATCAATTTTTTCGATTGCCCAACGCTTAATACATATCATTTCAAGCAATTGATTCAAAAGCAATAGCCTATAAAAATAACCTTTCTACCAATAAATGTTGAATTAAAGGGCCAAAGACCAAATCTCGAGAGTTTCGGAATGATTGCCCAGATAATTGGACTATTACTCTTATTTTTTCGGAGCCACGGCCTCACACCGGCTGTATCTACCGAGGACACTTGTTGCAAAGTCCAAGTTCAAGAAAAAACCGGTGTTACCACAAGATCGATCCAACCAGAAGCAAAAACCTCTATTGCGCCATCCCAGTCTTCCGAGAGTTTGCTTGATTGCGTCTTAGCTTCATGTAAAACGATTACTTTCAGCCGAGTTTTTTTATACCATCACCAACAAATCGATTCCTGCTTGTCTGCATTTCAGGTACTACTATTCCTTACATCATAACATCATAATCCACTGATTTCAATTATGTTCCAGGAAAGATGCTCCGGGTCTTCAAAAATCAATCTAATCTTCAAGAACGCAAGCTTCTACAAAAATCAAATTTCCAACAATTGGATCACTTTTAAACCCAAAAATTTCGATATTGAATCCATTAGATTTGAAGAGTGTCCAATTGGCAGTATCCAATCTGAAGCTTTTGGTCTCCAAATCTTCTCAAAAATAGAACAGTTCCACTTGATCAACACCAATGTCTCAATTTTCCAAAAGGATCTCTTCCAAAAGTTACCCAATCTCAAAAATTTCGCAGTTCAAAACAACCTGATCACTTTTGCAGAATCTTATTTACTTTCTGGACCAGCAGAACAATTAGAAACTCTTCAATTAGATTCTTCAATTCAAAATTTGGATGTTCTCCGCAATATAACCTTCCAAGAACTGCCCAAAGTCCAGCTTTTGTCCTTGCAAGGCAATAATATCTTTTTTATACCCAAATCGCTTTTTGCAACATTTCCAAATCTTCGGTCGCTCTATTTAGATTCGTCCAACATCCTAAGAATCAATTCGAACGCTTTTGATGGTTTGATTTCCATCCAACAGGTGTTTTTGAGGAACAACCTCCTATCTGAACTTCCTAAGGATTTGTTTGATCCAATTCTGGGTGCCAATAAGGATTTCAAGGTTGCTTTGAGTGGCAATCCTTGGAAATGCGATTGTAATCTAATTTGGTTGAAGGAATTGATGGAAGAATTCAGAAATTTGGTTCTAGAAGAGCCAATTTGTGCTATGCCTGAAAGTAACAAGAATTTGGGGTTCCTAGAAGCGGATTTTTGTGAAGAAGCGAAGATTTGGTGTAGCAATTTGGAAGATTTGATTGAAATAAGCATAAATTGTGAAAAAGGTGGAAAAAATATGAATGGATCAATTAGGAATGCTTCGAAAGAGGGTAATATTTCTTTCGCGGGGTTCGATTGCGTTTGGAAGAGTGCTTTAATTAAAAAGGAAAACGATTGCGCAAAAAGGTTGTGGTTAGCGAACGAGGACAAAGCGATGGTATTGTCTCTGTATACAATAGGGACCATTTTGTTCGGAGTTTTTTGCGCCGTTGGGTGCTTTTTAATTGTCAGAAAGAACAAGGGGATGGTGAAGGCCAACCAAAGGGTTGTGGTTGAAGAAAGAGGCTCGATTACGCTGCCTGGAGGTGAAGCTTGTCAAAGAGATAATAAAGGAGAAATTGATTATTTTACGCCTATTGAAGCTAATGAGGGTAATGAGTATGAATCGATCCAGGACAGGAGGAAAGAAGAAAGCAAGAGTGATAATTGCCCACCGCCGTTGCCACCGCATCCGTTTCATGGTGTGAAATCCGTTTCTTTGTTGATGGAAGGAAGTCACGGAAAACGGGAAGTTATTGATGATTATTTGTTGTAATTTGGTGATTAATAAATTGGTATTGCATTTATTTTTGGTGGGGGATTTGTTTTTTTTTTTATGGTTAATGCTCCTTGAATTGTTATTTCTGGGATGGTGATTGCTTCTGAAGGGAGTTTAGTGGAGGTATGTTAGTGTTTGAGGTAATTTACATTTGAAGGTTGCAAGATTGGAAATTCAGTTATGGGTACTTTGAATTTTAGATTCTGTTTTGGGAGTAAATTTGTTGAAATTTTTTTAAATGTCGTTTTAGAAGAATACTAAATCAGCGAGGTGATAAAGTTTTTTTGTGAATTATTATAATATTTTAAAGTTGGTATAATTTTATTTTTTTTTATCAATTTAGATTTCTTGATAAAATTTTTTAGTGTAAAATTGAAGTCATTATTATGAAAGTTGATTAATTTTTAAGCGAATTTTATAAAATAAAAGGTGTGACAAAAAAATTATTTTTTGTTAATTTATACTAACAACCTTGCAGTCACTATGTGACTGCCGTGATTTGTAAACTATAAATAAATAAAATTTTGGTTTAGTGAATAATGACTTTTGTTAAATTGCACTGTACTTTCTTAAATATTGACGTTTTTAAAGATATAAGCTCATCCCGATGTTACACTTATCAGGAGCTTTCATTTGAGTACCACATCAATTTTTCATATATTTATAATATATATATATATATATATATATGATATTTATGAAATATCTAAAATATATGAAAAATTGATGTGGGTACTCAAATGAAAGGTCTCGATGAGTGTAACATCGTGATGAGCTTATATCTTTAAAAATATCAATAGTTTCTAAGATACAAGGTCATTTCTTAATTATGTATCTAGAAATTGATTAAATTGTTTGGTAAGATTTTGAAGTAATTATTGTAAAAATCATTTGATTTTTTAACAAATCTCAATAAAAAATTTTTTACAATAAGCAAGTGCGACAAAAAAAAATTTTGCTTTTTAATTCATTATTCTTAGTAAAATTTTCATAGAATTCTTTGCTAAAATGTTAAAATAATTATTGTAATTTCAATTGATAATTTTTTTATGAGTATAAGTGTAATAAAAAATAATATTTTTCGAACATTAGCATGTAAAAATAAAGACTCAATTATAGAAAGTAATAATTTTATAACTATCCGAATTAAAAATAGTCCAAATTGAAGGAATCTATTTCGAAAGATCGAAAGAAAGATAGTAAGATAATTATTAGCGAAATGTTGTCTATTGGTAATGTCTATTTTAGTTATAAAGTTGAAGCGCTATATGAATATGTATATCTATCGTTCTTAGATGTTATTTATCTCGATTGGCAAAGCAGGTCGAGTTTGGTATATATTAAAACGTTGGGCAATCTGCCAAACTTAAAGTTACTTCTGCGCCGAAGGAAAGGAACTTGGTAATGAGCTACATACCTACTAACTTTTATTATCGCTATAATAGTAAAGAACTATAACAATAGAATCATTCCAATTGTTTACACAGTGAGCTTTGTTTAACAATAAACTTTATTTCCGTCCGCTTAGATGTTGCTGAAACCAATTTTTACGAATTGACCGTCTATGATTGTGGTTGACCATGATTGTAGATATAGATACCGCGGAACGATCAGATGAAGAAAGAAAGAGATGCTTTACAGGATTTCCAAGTTCAACTAATCCATTCCGATGGATTAATTGGGTAGGTAGGTCATGCACTTGTCTCACTCACCCAATTAAGTTGTGAAAGATCTAGCAAGCGACGGCAAACTAATGTCAACAGATGAGATGATTTGCAATGACCTGTCTCGAAAGAATGCCATGATTGCGTTAATCAAAATCTATCGATCTGACGTATCAATTCGATCGGAAAGCCATTAAGAGTTTGATCGCTCATCGAATAAGTTTATGTTCAATTTATCCACGCCCGAGACAAGTTAGATTGTTCTTTTTTTTTTTTACTGCTATTATTATTGTTAGCTCGCTATAATTAACCTAAAATGGTAAAGTGACAACTTGAAGGACTATTTTTTGTTATTTAGTGGAGTGCTAATTTTTTTGTTTCTGTTTTAGGAACCTGGACAATTAAGTAAAGACCAAAAGAAACGTATGTCATTTATTTTTACATTTAATATATTGATTTATAAGCTTGAAATTTTTTTATTAGAATGTATTTCTTTGAAGATAAATTTTTTTTTCATTTTTGATAACATTGAATTTTGTTGAATTGATATTTTAGAAAATATAAATAATTTAGAGACAAAATAAAAAGAAATTTTTGAAAAAATTATAGAGTTGTTTAAATGGCTGTAACTTTTTAACTATTAGTTTTTTGATCAAAAGGTGTGAAGAAATAAATTTTTAATAATTTTTGGTTCCGTTAAAATTTTTGTAGGGTCAGTATTCTAGAATATACAATTAATTTGATTATATGCTTCAAAATATACAAAGAACAATTTTTGGAAAAGTTATATAGTTGTTCAAATGGCTGTAACTTGAAATTTTGATTTTGGAAAGAAAATTTTGGAAGTAAAATTGTAGAGGATCAAATTTTGAACAATTTTGGTATTCTTAAAAATTTTTGTAGAATTGGTTGGATTATGCGTCATTATTTTAACGCCAGAGTTCAAAATTAATGCATGGTATCGAATACTATTTCGAGGAATTAATGTTTATATGATATTGGATATTTTCTATATTTTTATAGAAATAAGGATATAGTAATAAGTTAGTTAAAAGTCTTATTATTATTATTATTATTATGATTATTAAGTGTATAACTGAAAGATCGCTACACTTTTTCAGTTGAGTTTTAGTTAGTTGGTTACAAAAGCGCTCCTTGTAAAAATATTCTTTTTGAGTCATAATTTAATAAAGGGATCATAATAGATGAACTCAAGTTCATTATTTATTTAAAATAATATACCCATATTCTGATAGAATTGATATTTTTTTAAGATATGGTCAATTTAAATATAGCTTTCAGAGTATATAATGAAAACTTATTTTTTTTTGAACTATTATATAGTTTTTTAAATAGCTGTAACTTTTGAACTATTGATTTGAGAGAAAAAGTTTTGAAGAAAAGTTGTAGAAAATTTCATTTTGAATATAAAAATCTCGTAAAAGCTTTATTTTTTAAGACAATTATATTTTTTCTCACTAGAACTGAAAACCGCTTTCGATGCATTCGACCACCAAAAAAATAACACCATCCAAACCTCAGACATCGCTACAATTGTAAACATGATGGGAATAGAGTTAGAAAACCCTGCAGACTTAGACAACGCCATCATGGAAGTTGATACCTTCGGTAACTATCTACCTCTAAATTTTTAATCTACTTTAAATTTCTGATTACCAACTACTATTAAATAAATCAATTTTATAGGAAGCGGGGAAGCTAAATTCGATGATTTCTGCGCGATAGTCGCAAGATTTATGGAAGAAGACGTCGATGTTGAAACTTTGAAAACAGAATTGAAAGAAGCCTTCCGGCTTTATGATCGTGAAGGAAACGGATATATCACCACTGAATGCTTCAGAGAAATTCTCAGTGAAATTGACGAAAATCTGAATGATGACGAGCTTGACATGATGATTGAAGAAATTGATGCTGACGGTTCCGGAACTTTAGATTTTGAAGGTTAATTTTTTTAGTTAATTTTGTTGAAACTTTTAATTAAAAAAAAATTTTTGTCCATCAATTCTTAAGCAAAATAATTTTTTTATATGGTCAAAGCCCCAATTATTGACATTATAAGAGACAAAGTAATGGTTTGATTTTTTTTAAGCAATCAAATATCAATATCGTTGAATTTTGTTTGTGGTAATGTCTCAAGTAATGATTTTACTGATCAAATTTCTTAAAATGATAATCACTGATATTTACTAATTAATTTTAAATAATTAAATAGATTATCCGGAGACACCAATTATTGGCAGGTTAAAAAACTGATTGATCTAATTATTGACATACCTTCACCCCAATTATTGACACCTATACTAAGCATGCCTACAATCATCTGCTTATTCTTATTTATCCAAACTTATTATTAAGTAATCAATTTTATTAAAGTTTATCAATAATAATTTCCATAAATGATTAATTACTTTGAAAAATATAAAAATTTATTTAAAAATAATTTATTTAATCAGAAGAGTTCAAACTCTTACAGTTAATTTTTTAGATTAAAGTAAAAAAAAAGCGTGATAGCGCTGTCGAATGGCTGTCAATATGAGATTCAACTTAAAAATTATCAACTAGTTATTGACACCCATTATTTAAATATTATAAAGCATACAATTAATTTCGATTATTCAATTTTATAAATTTTTCATATATTGTTAATTAAAAAAAAAAGATGATATTATTAGATGAAGAAATGAATTTAAACTCGGCATTTAAAAAAAATGCTTTTCTAATCAAAGTTGTTAAGAAAATAAACGTTCGTAAGGTTTGATCTGGTGCTAACTTTATTTTTTAATAATTAATATTTAATATTAACTGACAGTAATTTTTTTCAATTTTTTAATTAATTAGAATTTAATAAAAATTTATATGATAGTTATTCTTATAACAGATGATTAAATATATTTAAAAATAATTTAGTGTGTCAATATTTAGACCCCTGTTAATAATTGGGGCTTTTACCTTACTTACTTTCAAGTATATAAATTTTATAATTTTTTTGTGTGCCGAAAAAAATTTTAGGGTGTAACCGGAAGTGACCTTATTAAGAATTGAGAAAAGTAATTGTAGATATATAAATTTAATATGACAAAAAAAAAGTTAAATTTACGTAATAAAAAATTCCAGTGACTAATTTATATTTCACAATCTAATTTTTGTCTGTTTAGAATTCGTGGAGGCAATGACGCACTGATTGTCCCTGGATGGAGAAATTGTAATTGTAACAACTCATTAATTATCATCATACATTATATATCGTACAAAAAAAAATTGTACGGTTAATACATGTTATATCACCGGTTGCGCTGTATTTGTAATAAAAATATTGAAATAAATAACGTTTTAAAAATGGTGAGTTGATCAATGATTAAACGCTGTAATAAATTCAAACTATTCGATTGTAAGTGTTTGATAAGTCAATCAAACTGATGCAATATTCTATTAAATGTCAATTCAATTAATGAATTAACTCCGGAGAATTTGCACGCACCTGCATTCATATTCGATATTCGATACGACAATTCGGCTGTGGGTATGTGCAGAAAATCATGTTAGTGATTGGAGATTTGATAAAATGCTCCCTATCCGGCATGTACCCTTCACTTTGGTTCCTTCAGCGAGGTTTTTTTTTACTGGTGATTTATAGCTTAAACATTCGGTTTTAATTGATTGATCACGGATTTTTTATGTGGGATTGGTTTGGATTGGAATTTTGACGTTTTTGGGAAAGTTATACAGTTTTTTTTCTGACTTTTTTTTGTTAGTAAGAAAAATTAATTGCATTTTTTCACTGAATTTATAGTGTGACTAATTTTTGGTTAATTTAAAGGTTATAGCTTGTTAAATATTAATTTAAAAAAATATTTTTAAGACAAATAATGTAAAGAATTGGATTAGGCTTCAAATAAAGTGAAATATAATTTTTGGAAAAATTATATAGTGGTTGATTTGGTTGTAATTTTTGAACTATTAGATTTATAAAGAAAAGTTTTGAACAAAAGTTGTAAAGAATTGAATTTTGAACAATTTTTGATTTTGTAAAAATTTTTGTAGAGCCAATATTCTATAAAATACAATAAATTTAATTATAAGCTTTAAAATATACAAAGAAGAATTTTTGGAAAAATTAAATAGTTGTTCAAATGGCTGTAATTTCTGTACTAGTAGTTTTATAAAGAAAAATTTCGAATAAAAGTTTTAAGAAACTGAATTTTAAACCATTTTTGTTTCTGTAAAAATTTTTTTAGAGCCAATCTTCTATAAAATACAATAAATTTAATTTTAAGCTTCAAAATATACAAAGAACAATTTTTGGGAAAGTTGTATAGTTGTTTAAATGGCTGTATCTTTTGAACTATTGATTTGGAAAGAAAAATTTAAAACAAAAATTGTAGAGAATTAAATTTTGAACAAATTCAATATCAATCCTAAATTTCATGAGCAGTCTTTTTGGAGATACAGTAATTTAAAATGTAATCAACTTGTTTTATGAAAAAATTAATTTTAAAATGTAATTACTTCACTAATCAATACTTGTCACCTAAAAATGAGTGAATAGCCAATAATCAAGACGGTTATGAAGAGTTAATTTAAGCTTAGAAATCAGTAACCCGGAGTTTTCTTATGCAATTATTTATCTCATGCGGCTGGCTAATTACATCACTCTTCTCATTCTGGAATTTATATATCCGTCATTATAGACCAGGTATTAAATACATAACTATGTAATGACAAGTAGTAATATCAGCCTGACTAGTATCGCTCAAGTCCTAAATGAATCAAATAAAAAGTCGACTTTGCTAATACGTATTTAGTCTATCAACATTTACCTTATCTATTTATTTATTTCCTCCGTTGATTTTTTATTCCAATGAATAGTAATGGACTTTTTCTACACTCGCTCCTTTTTTATAGTCCTACCAATTTTTTAAATTAGCACGACTAATTACTTAATCGCTCGACATTTTATCCCCTTGGATAAAAGAGAAACTATTAATTTTTTACTCAAGATAAATTTTGTTAAGAGGAATATTTTTTTTTAATTTTACAATCAATATAAAAAAAAATTTTTTTTTCACTTTCGAATATTGAATTATTTAGAGTAATTATAGCTTTGTTAAAATGGCTGTTACTTTTGAGCTATTGATTTTATAAAAAAATGTTTTGAACAAAAGGTGTAGAAAATTGAATTTCAAAGAATTTTTGTTTTTTGATAAAATTTTTTAGGACTAATATTAAAGAAGATATGATTAATTAAATTATAGATTTGCAAGTATAAAAAATAATTTTTTGGAAAAATTATCAAGTTGTTAAGGAGATCCTAGTACCCTACTAGTGTAAAAATGTCTATAAAAAAATAATCCGTAGAAATACTTTTGCTATGCATCTTAAAATTAATTTCTAAATCAATTAATAACATTTTTGGAAAATTTCCAAAAAATTGACTCATTAAATAATTATTAACATTTAATTAATTAAATTGTAAAAATTACAATTTTCAAACCTAATTATTTTATTAAATATACTGGAAGCTGTTTTTTAATTTTTTTATTAATTATTAGGCTACATTACGGTGTGCCAAAATTTAACTTCCTTAATGGACCTCTTAAAATTGGAATTTTGAGTTCCGCTTTTAACAGGAGTTGTGTTTGGGCATTTCTTGACATATTTTGAGCGTAAAGGATTTATTTGATTTTTATAGAATTTTTTAACAGGAGTTTTGTTCGGCTAAATTTTGAAATTTTTAAATTCCAGCAAAAATGGCCGAACAAAATTTCTCTCAAAAGATCTCCTTAATTTGATTGTAAATTTGAACTATTTATTTGGAGCAAAAATTTTTGAACAAAGGTTGTAGAAAATTCAATATTGAAAAATTTTGATCTCTACAAAAATTTTTTTAGGACCATATTTAGAAGATATGACCAATTTAGTTATAGATTTAAAATTCTATAAAAAAAAAAACAATGTTTTGGAAATATTATCTAGTTGTTAATTTGATTGTAACTTCTGAACTATTAATTTTTAAGACTAAATCTTGTAAAACAAAAGTTGTAGAGAAATGAATTTTAAACAAATTTTGTTTCAATAAAAAATTTGATAAGACCAATATTTTCAAAGATACATCAGTTTGTTAGTTAATAATCTTGCTAACTACAAAAAAAAAAAATTATTATTAATCTTTCCTCATTTTTAGACATAAAAAAATTTTTAAAAATCTATCTAGCAATTTATAACACAGCGTAGACATACGTAAGTTGTTTAATGCCAAAAATTAATTTAGTGTGTTGTGCGCGAGTGATTGAAATGAATTTCATTTCGCGGTGATAAATTAGAAGTCGTCCTCGGTAATTTTGAAAACCACTGTAAGCTTACCATTTAATCTAGTCTAGTCAGTCTTTACTACATATTTATATATTTGTTATTTCGCTATTTGCTAAAATATGTCAACGGTGCCAGGAACTTTTATAAACTAGTATGCAAAGCTCGCGTCTTTTAAAACCGAGTGATCTAATCCGCGGTCCCACATAGCGCCCAGTTATCACTTTTGTAACTAGTTCATTTTTTTTATTTTATTTTTTATTTTCGCATTGTATATTACGTGTTACGTTAATTAGATAAAATATGGTAGGTGCAATTATTATATATTTAATTTTATTTCATTTTATCGCACTTAATTAAATTCCATTTATTTCATTTAAATCATGCAGTGAAAGGTGTTTATGTAAATTATTTATTTTTTCCACAGGAAGACTTGACTAAGGATCAAATTGTCCGTAAGTTTATTTATTATTTATAATTATATTATTTTACTCTTTCCTTTTTTTACACGGGGAATATATAAGTGACGTGTCATTTATTTTACTTGAAGTTTTTTTCTTCAAGTGCAAAAAATTAATTGCATTTCTTTACGGGATTTATAGTGTCGCTAATTTTTGGAAATTTGAGTTGATTAAAAGGTTATAGCTTATGAAATATTGATTTAAAAAAAATTTTAGATCAATATTTTAGAAGATATAAGGTAAAAGCCCTAATTATTGACACTATAGATTTGATTTTTTTTTTATGCAATCAAATATCAATATCGTTGAATTTTGTTTGTGGTAATGTCTCAAGTAATGTTTTTACTAATCAAATTTTTTAAAATCATAATCACTGATATTTACTAATTAATTTTAAATAATTAAATAGATTATCCGGAGACACCAATTGTTGGCAGGTTAAAAAACTGATTGATCTAATTATTGACATACCTTCACCCCAATTATTGACACCTATACTAAGCATGCCTACAATCATCTGCTTATTCTTATTTATCCAAACTTATTATTAAGTAATCAATTTTATTAAAGTTTATTAATAATAATTTCCATAAATGAGTAATTACTTTTAAAAATATAAAAATTTATTTAAAAATAATTTATTGAATCAGAAGAGTTTAAACTCTTACAGTTAATTTTTTAGGTTAAAGTCAAAAAAAGGCGTGATAGCGCTGTCGAATGGCTGTCAATATGAGCTTCAACTTAAAAATTATCAACTAGTTATTGACACCCATTATTTAAATATTATAAAGCATACAATTGATTTCGATTATTCAATTTTATAAATTTTTCATATATTGTTATTAAAAAAAAAAAAACGAATGATATTATTAGATGAAGAAATTGAATTTAAACTCGGCATTTAAAAAAATGCTTTTCTAATCAAAGTTGTTAAGAAAATAAACGTTCGTAAGGTTTGATCTGGTGCTTTTATTTTTTTTTTTAAATTAATATTTAGTATTTTGAACTGACTAATTTTTTTCAATTTTTTAATTAATTAGAATTTAATAAAAATTTATATGATAGTTATTCTTATTACAGATGATTAAATACATTCAAAAATAATTTAGGGTGTCAATATTTAGGCCCCTGTCAATAATTAGGGCTTTTACCCTAGTAAATTTGAATTTAGGCTTCAAATTATATGAAATATAAATTTCGGGAATACTATTTGGTTCATTTGGTTGTAATTTTTTAACTAGTGATTTTAGAAAGAAAACTTCGAACAAAAATTGTAGAAAATTAAATTTTGAACAATGTTAGTATTTCTAAAAATTTTTGAAGGACCAATATTGTAGAAGATATAGTTAATTTAAATATACTCTTCAAAATATGTAAAGAACAATTTTTGGAAAAATTATATAGTTGTTTAAATGGCTGTAATTTCTGTACCAGTAGTTTTATAAAGAAAAATTTCGAATAAAAGTTTTAAGAAACTGAATTTTAAACCATTTTTGTTTCTGTAAAAATTTTTATAGGGCTAGTATAGTATAAAATACAAAAAATTTGATTATAATCTTCAAAATATATAAAGAATAATTTTTGGGAAAGTTATATAGTTGTTCAAATGGCTGTAACTTTTGAACTTTTAATTTTGGAAAAAAGTTTCGATCAAAAATTGTAGAAAATTAAATTTTGAACAAATTTGATGAGTGAAAAATATTTTAGGAGTAATTTTAAATATAAAGAACGATTCTTTTAAAGAAATTGAACTTGATAAAATTTATAAAAATTTTTGCAGTATTAAAAAAGGCGTTCGATGCATTCGACCACGAAAAAAAAGGATGCATCGGCACAGACATGGTCGGAACAATTTTAACGATGTTGGGCCACGAGCTGAGTGAGAACACGCTTGCTGAGATTATCGCGGAGGTTGATGAAGATGGTAAATACGAATATAAATAATGATATTAATATTAATACACTCTCACATAAACTTTTCGCATTAATTAACATCTTATCTTCATCAATTACACTAACGATGATATATTTTATTTATCATTCACTTACTGCAATAATGAATGAAAGCCACGCATAAAGATCATCAATTAATTAATTAATTAATCAATTATACGAACTCGATTTCTCTCTTAGGTTCCGGGGAGCTGGAATTTGAGGAATTTTGTACCTTGGCGGCTAGATTTTTAGTAGAAGAGGACACCGAGGCAATGCAACAAGAACTGCGCGAGGCATTCCGGCTTTATGACAAGGAGGGAAACGGTTACATAACCACCGAGGTCTTTCGCGATATTCTCCACGAGCTCGATGACAAATTAACGAACGAGGAACTCGATTTAATGATTGAAGAAATAGACGCCGATGGCTCGGGGACACTCGACTTCGATGGTAATTTTTCATTTGTTTTATATAAGCAAGGATGGGTTCAATTATTGATTTTTTTCGTTATGTCTTGGAGTTTCTCTAATTGGGTAGTAATTGGCAATAGTTATCATGTTTCAAAATTTTCTAAGCATTTTTTTTTATTTATTATACAAAGTTGTTTAATTTCTGCCTAACAATTTTTTGCAACAACTTTTGAACCAATTGTTCAATTGGTTTCAAATTCTGTAAAACTGTTAGTTTTTTGATACTATTGAGAATAGTGAAAGAATTTTTTAAATCGGTTAATTAGTTTCCGAGATATTAACTCCGTACATCCGCACAATTCTTTCTGTACGGATCGTTTTTTCGTGATAACTTCCAAACTAATTGTCCGAATTATTTCAAATTTTGTGGAAATCTCAAGCTTATAATACTCTTGAGACCCAAAAAGAAATTTTTATAATCCGTTGATTACTTTCCGAGTTACAAAGTTGTAAAATTATAGTCTAACAATCTTTTTTGCAATAACTTTTAAACCAATTGTTCAATTGTTTTCAAACTTTGTAAAACTGATAGTTTTTTGCTGCCATTAAGAATGTGAAAAGAATTTTTTTAATTATTTGATTAGTTCTCGAGATATTGACTCCGTACATCCGCACAATTCTTTATGTACGGATCGTTTTTTCGCGATAACTTCTAAACTAATTATCTGAATTATTTCAAATTTTGTGGAGATCTTAATCTTATTATACTCTTGAGACCCTAGAAGAAATTTTTTAAATCTATTGATTTCTTCTCAAGGTACAGAGTTGTAAAATGTTTTTTTAGCCAAAAAAAAACATTTAAACTTCACCTCTAGGCTATAGAAATAATTATCCGACCCACCCTGGTTCAGAACACACTCAAAGTCCCTTTAAGGCATAAGAGAAAAAAATAAAAATAATAAAATATAATTATTACATAAAATATCAATGTTACATTACAGAGTTTATGGAAGTGATGACTGGAGGTGATGACTAATTGTATTACAAGCAAGAGAAATCATGTCATCGCATATAAATTAAAGAATTATAAACCAAAGCTCATGATATTTAATACGATTACAATAAAGGATGCAAAATTTCGAATGGTTGGCAGTCCCTGGAAATGAGCGACGTTAATTCGCAAGCAGACAAAGAGAGATCGGCAAGCTGTCAGTCCTTCGTCAAATTAACGGGGACTTTAGTGATAAAAGAGGGCTACATTATTCCGCTACATATTGGGGGGTACTATTGTAATTATCATTTAATAAACTGACAACTGTATGCTGATGAATATGTGGTTTGTGGACATGGTAACAACCAGAGACTGAGTTGTACTTATTTGGCGTCATGAATATGCAATTAACCAGTGATCTCGACTATGTTTGTAATTCTGTTAAGAACAATTCTTGCTTTGTAAGGATTAATATTCAAATTGTAATGAATTTAAATAAATTATTATATTTTACCTTGTTATTCTTTGTGTAATTGGGGTAGAACGGTGAGAGTTGAGTAATATGATGAAATTGAGTGCTTGTGGGAGGAATATCAAATTAAGATATTTGAAAATCATATGTTTGCATTAATATATGGCTGTAGGTTAGGGAATATTTGTTTTAGAGCAAAAAGTATCAAAAAAAAATTCTTTCAGAATTTTTTTAGGACTAATATTTTTGAAAATATGACTTATTTAAGTGTAGGCTTTAAACTATACAGAAAATAATTTTTTGGAAAAATTATATAAGGTAAAGGGCCCAATTATTGACAGGGGCCTAAATATTGACACCCTAAATTATTTTTGAATATATTTAATCATCTGTAATAAGAATTACTATCATATAAATTTTTATTGAATTCTAATTAATTAAAAAATTGAAAAAAATTACTGTCAGTTGATATTAAATATTAATTATTAAAAAATAAAGTTAGCACCAGTTAAAACCAGCTTACGAACGTTTATTTTCTTAACAACTTTGATTAGAAAAGCATTTTTTTTTAAATGCCGAGTTTAAATTAATTTCTTCATCTAATAAAATCATCTTTTTTTTTTTTAATTAACAATATATGAAAAATTTATAAAATTGAATAATCGAAATTAATTGTATGCTTTATAATATTTAAATAATGGCTGTCAATAACTAGTTGATAATTTTTAAGTTGAATCTCATATTGACAGCCATTCGACAGCGCTATCACGCCTTTTTTTGACTTTAACCTAAAAAATTAACTGTAAGAGTTTGAACTCTTCTGATTCAATAAATTATTTTTAAATAAATTTTTATATTTTTAAAAGTAATTAATCATTTATGGAAATTATTATTAATAAACTTTAATAAAATTGATTACTTAATAATAAGTTTGGATAAATAAGAATAAGCAGATGATTCTAGGCATGCTTAGTATAGGTGTCAATAATTGGGGTGAAGGTATGTCAATAATTAGATCAATCAGTTTTTTAACCTGCCAATAATTGGTGTATCCGGATAATCTATTTAATTATTAAAAATTAATTAGTAAATATCAGTGATTATCATTTTAAAAAATTTGATTATTAAAAACATTACTTGAAACATTACCACAAACAAAATTTAACGATATTGATATTTGATTGCTTAAAAAAAATCAGATTATAACTTTGTCTCTTATAGTATCAATAATTGGGGTTTTTACCTTACAGGTGCTTAAAACTACATCAATTTCTTTTGAAAAATTATCTTTTCTCAAAAATGGCTGTAACTTAAAAAATATAAGTTTTAGAAACAAAGTTTAAAGAAAATTCAATTTTGACTAATTTTTGTCTCTATAAATTTTTCCATAGGACCAATATTTTTAAAGATATCACAATTAGCTCCATTTCACTTGGCGTTTCAATATTATGGAACAATTATTACATAACATAGCATAACAAACAATTCATATGACACTGGAGTATGAAATAATGAATAAAACTTGTCCTGATGCAAGCATAAGGACTCAATTGTCTCACGTCGTGCGAATGTGAGTCACGAAGACGAAATGTCAGTTCCTGTACGCCCGACTTTCGATCTATTACACAACAAAAAAAAATCAACCCTAATCAGATTAATGTCGTCCCAGGCCGCCGCGAATATACAAACGCGAACAATTAAATTAATTAAAGACCGACTAGCAATAGTAAAAAGTACCTAATAATTTTTTAATACCGGCAATAAAAAGTAATAATTACATTTGATGTACAAAACATATGTGCACTCGTTACACATTATTTAAGTGGACGTTAACATTATTAAAGTAAGCTAACGAAGCTCAGGTGCCTAATTGATGGAGAAAGTATCGCTAGACGCGGATTTGTATCGGAGGTTGGATTATGTTAGATTTTATATTAGAGACACGTTAATAATTAACGTTTAGAAAAGTTTTGTCTGAGCCATTAGTTTTCAATTATTTATTTATTTATTTATTTATTTCAATCTTCAGTTAAGCGGATTAAAATTAGTCCATTAATTCTCCGGCAATGAATTTTATTTTATGTTGTACATTTGTATGTATTGTACGAGATATAATAATAAGTAATAAGTGTTTGTATAACGTGGGAATTGTGCGCTGACCAATACCATTCTGTCTCGGTTAAGATTCCTATCCCAATTTGGACTATTTCTCACTCAATGCTTGTTTATTCACCGGCCGCAACACTTTTGATTAATGCAAACAAGTAATTACGGTTTTAGAGGCTTGAGGTGCAAGTTAAAGCGAAGGAAATTGGGAAATTTTATTCTCCGAAACTTTTAAAAGGAAAATTTCGGTGTAATGTCGAAAGTTTGCATACTTTTTAAAAATTTTTTTAATATATTGTTGTATTAATAACTTGGAAAATATGAAAATTTTTGCTGAGATAAAATTTATTCAGAATTTAATTACTGTAATCGCGATAATTAAACACCATGGGGAGTTATTTTAAAAGGCGGATAAGGTAAAAGCCCCAATTATTGACACTATTAGAGATAAACTTAAGACTTGATTATTTTTAAGCAATCAAATATCAATATCGTTGAATTTTGTTTGTGGTAATGTCTCAAGTAATGTTTTTACAAATCAAATTTTTTAAAATTAAAATTAGGGTGTCAATATTTAGACCCCTGTCAATAATTAGGGCTTTTACCTTTGTTAAAACAGTGATATATATTTGAAACAATTAGTTCTGAGGATTTTTAATAATACCAAATTTATTCAAAATAGAATTCTATACTTTTGTTCAGAACTTTTGTCTCCAAAATAGAATCAAATTAACAACTAAATAATTTTTCCAAAAAATTATTTTTTATAGAATTTCATACCTTCAAAAATATTAGTCGTAAATAATTTTACTTGAACAAAAATTGTTCAAAATTTAATTTTCTACAAATTTTGTTCCAAACATTTCTTTCCAAAATTTTAAATTCAAAAGTTACAACCATTTAAAAAACACTAAATACAAAATCATGTTTAAAATAATTATAAACTTTCCCTTATTGAAATTAAAATAAATTAATTAATAATTAAATAAAATAGAACATCGAGAAACCTTCTCGAGCTAATTATCATAATAACGAGCATTAAAATAATAACTCATCTGAAAAAAAGGACTTAAATACAGCGCTTATAATAACGAATTACCCTGTCCAATTTATTGAATGATAACAATTTAATTTAGAGTATAATAACAATAATAACGATCTTTTTTTGCCGGAATAATTAATTAAAGTTTCTCTCGGGTATTATTTAATAGCAATTATTACGTATTGCCCATAGATAATCGATCGTAATGGCCGAGCGATTTACCTAGATCCGTCAGACGACTATAGACCGATTTCTTGATATTCTTAAAAAGAAGAAATGCCGGCGACCACCCGACTAGGCCTGCCTACTACTATCCCGCGACTTAGCAATGTCGTAATTGATCGGTAGACCGACACAACACTCGGTATAGTACTCTAAGATACATGCTTTATAGTACATACTACATGCTACATGGTACAAGGTACATACACAACATAACACAACACGTGCTCAATAGTACCACTTTTTCTTCAACATTTCTCTCTTTCTAAACTCTAACCTCTCTAAGAATCGATAGAATTACTCAGTTATTCAATCAAAATCCTCGTCAATTATTTTCCGTCAGCTTATTTTATTAATTAGTTAATTAGAACAAACGGTTCTATGATTTTTGATCGCCTGACAAAATATCTTAAATCATTCGATTTTTCAATAAAACAATTTAAAAAAATTGTTAATTGTATTTTAAGGATGTCCAAGTACTCTCCTAGTGTAAAGAATGTCTATAAAAAATAATACGTAGAAATACTTTTGTTATCTTAAAATTAATTTTTAAATTAATTGATAACATTTTTGAGGAAATTTCCAAAATTCACTCATTAAATAATTATTAACATTTAATTGACTAATAAAAAATATAGCACTCTGAATTACCGGTATACACTTGACAACACCGCAAGAGTTCCCTAACCTTCAAATTTATTTATGTTTACTGTCTAACTAAAATGACTAAGATCTTCTAGCATTTAAAAAACCGCGGTTACTTATGCGCCGAGTAACTGCGCAAGCGGTGTTGCCAAGTCAAATACAAGACTCTAAAGAATGGAAGTTCCGAGTGATTTTTCATAAAAAATATAAAATATCTCCGTAATACGTTCGGAAAGCTACTTTTTTTATTGTTTTAATCGAAAGCTTATTATTTTTTCAATCAAATTCAATGAAAATAAAATTTTTTTTAAATCGTTAATTGCATTAAATTCTTAACCAAATACACGGCTGAATCTCCATTCACATGTAAAAATTACAATTTTCAAACCTAATTATTTCATTAAAAATCTCGGAAACTGTTTTTTAATTCTTCTATTATTTATTAAGCTACGTAGATTAAATTTACAAATTTTCAAGAAATTTAAAAAATTTGATTATCTCGGATCTCCTTAAAGATCTATCTTCTTAAATATTAGTCCTACAAAAATTTTTATACAA